CGGACAGTTCTCGTTCGCATCCACAGGAACGTCGTCACTCATTCCCTCAAATTCAAAAATCTGAACAACGCGTCAGAATAAACGGCAAACACAAACACGATTGAGAAACACACGCGCGTCACGAGGCGATAAGGCTTGACGATTCCAAACCGTTTTATAGACAAAAATAAGAATACTGGACTATAAGACCTGTCATGAACTTAATAAATTAGCCAGGACATGAATCCGAAAACAAAAATAACATAGAGGAGTGGCGCTTAGTCAGAAGCTTATCTTAAGCTTGCTGGCCCGAACATGAACAGTAAACATCCACAGAAAAAACTGCTTCCTGCTCAGTCTGGTTATCGAGCTAATTACCGAGCTAAAAATTCATTTGCGCCCAACCAGATGTGTTTTATAGGTGATTTTGAAATATGGAATATTCTCGTAAAGTTGCAGATCCCTAGCATGACCAATTGACGAAATCGCTCCTATTATACATATTTTTAACATGAACGCATATTAAAGATCATTTTGTAGCTACTTGCCCATTTACCTAAAACAAATACTCTCACGACACAAGACTGTTCTAATTAGTGCAGTTTTTGGACTGGCATCTTGCCAGCGATTATGAAATCTCAGAATCGAGACATTCGTATACGACTGTGTGCATTTAAAGATGAATTTGAAATCTTTAGCTCGCATAAAGTCGCAGAAATATCCTTGTAAAATTTCAGCTACTCGTCTGGTTCCCAAAATCGTTTAGCGGGAAAACATCTGTATGTTTCCTCTTACGCATCTGTATATGATACCTGAGCTCACGCAAGGCCGTAGAAATATCCTTGTAAAATTTCAGCTATTTATCTGGTTCCCAAAATCGCATTCGTAGCAAAACATTTGTATGTTTCCTCTTACGCGTCCGTATATGATACCTAAGCGTACGCGAATAATGATATTAAAGCGAATGGATCGAACATGAGGTGAATACTTCAGAAATTTGAACTCCTCAACTTGTCTGGTTTTCGAGTTCGAAGTGAGTGACAAAATGCGAATACATGGGCATACACGACCTCATGTCAATACGCATTTTGCATTTCCGTAAATATGCAAAGCACAAAAAAAAAGAAACTGAAATGTATCGCAGGGACTTCTAAATCTTATATCCGTACAATGCTATATTACTTTCAACAGACGAATTCACTCTACAACCATTTATCGTTGTAACTCCCAAGTATTGATTGGGGAAAGTCTCAAGGGCCTAGCATAGCATGTGGCAGTATTCCAGTAATAGCACCGATATGGGATCCCATATCAACTGTTCGGGTTGGCTTGGCATTCCTGGCAAAATAATTTCTAATTTATCTATTCATTTGTTCAGCTGAAAAACGTCTATTTACGAGAATCCCCAAAACGCTGAATATTGCTTTTTTTCCCCCCTGAAATCATACATTTAAATGCAATTAAAATGAGCTATAAAAAGTGATCCTGCGGAACAATCGCCAGAAGAATTCCGAACTATAAGGCAGCATGAAAAATTTTATAACGGTCATTAAGCAATCGTAGGATGGCAGTGCACATGCATAATCACATTCTTCGAAAGGATGCCCGGAAAAAGGCATGAATTTTGCCGGCTTTTGTCGGTCCCAGACCGGGGCAAAGTAGCAGGCGATCAATGTCTGCATTTGCTATCTTTCGAACACTACCAAATGTAGCCAGCAGGCGTTGCGCATCTGTTGTTGTCACGGATCGGATCGCTGTGAGAAATGATACAGCCTGAAATGAGTGCGTAAAATAGCAATAAGCCCTACACTCGGCGCGTCTTCATAAGGCAAGCATAACGCTCAATACAAGCCGGAAAAGCTGTTTTTGGGCTGTAATTGAGCGTACTTTGATATACCGCTTTCAACAAAGGTTATCC